TTAGTTTCAATAATTTGCGGTAAAAATAGATTTGTGCAGTAAGGTTGTAATGCTAGTTGAATTTGTTATTTTCCATAACTGCAGATCTAGTGCTCCAAGTGAAGTGAAATTTTTGTGGCATGCTACTCATGTGATAGTTGATGTGTGGTAAAAATTTCATGAGTATTGGATGAAGTATGAGTGAGTTATTGGTTTATCTTGCTCTCACATGATTTCTTGCTTTAGCAACTTGTCTTTTTCATAGAGGTTGCTATACATATTCCAATGGAGTGAAATTTGTATAGTAGACTATTGAGAGGATATGTGAGCTACTGTAATTTTTGTAGAATTTATTGTATACTTTTGGTATATGTTCATTAAGTCACCTTGTTATCTAAAATAAATTAAGAAATGCATTAAAAGAATTTATTTGGTAAAGGACACTAGGTTTTCTGGTGTTCTTTAGTCATGTGTGACATGTTGGTAAAGTTGGTTTTGCCTAATTATGTGTTTGCAACATAAGTTAATATTTATTTTCTTGCAAATATGGTTTATGGACAGATCTGGGAACCTAGCAAAGTTCTTCATGATAATGTGCTTTGTTGTGAAACTTGTTTATACAAAAGTTATAGATAATTCATGTATCTAGCTGCTGTTAAAATTTGGTGGTATTTGGCCTTGTAGTTTGTGAGTTATGCCTGTTTAAAGTTAGGCTTCAGAAATGACTGCTCTCTGTCAATTGTGGACCAGTTTCTATAAATTTGGTGGTATTTGGCCTTGTAGATAAGTCATGCTTGGTGTTGTCATCTTATTTGCTATCGTGGGATGATAAATTGTGCGATATTTAAAGTAGGCAATGTGAAGTGCTTGTGCATGTTAATGTAACCTTGTGCTTGTCTTACTTACTGCATGTGATGCATCGTCTATTGCACTTCCATGTATTCATACACTTGCATCTTGCATCTCATCTAGGTGCGCTAGATGAACCACATGAAGGATGTGATGTTGGAGCCAAACCCGAAGATTTGGTTTGGTGGATATATCCCGAAGATGAAAGGACTAAGCAAGTGCTAGGACCTGAGATGTCATCAGGACGGTGTAAGCTAACTGAACTGACTTGTGTTGGATCCCAGGCAAGCCCTGGAGCATATTAAGCCTCCTAATTTTCGAAATGCAGTTAAAGTATTATTGTTACATATATATTGTTACATTAAGTTTAGGTGTTGGATGCAAACACTTGCTGCATTGGTTATCCAATCCTTGTCCAGATATTGATACCCCAGAATCCTATGTAGCTCAAAGCTCGTGTAGTGCTTAGCCCCGCTTAACACGGTGAGAAGTCGTGATTCCCTCACACCGCGAGATATAGGAAGATACATATGGCACGGTTGGCTATATTTGCTATCGTGGAAAAGAACCAGATCTTAATTTGAAATGAAGACCGGACGGAGGCGTGTGGGGTTTGCGAAGGACTCCGTCTCATGCCGATTAAGGACCAATCTTGGAGCCTTTCTGCTCATATTGAACGCATGCCTCTCTCTTAGTTGGTCAGTGTCCAAGACCGACCATGCGAAGCCGAGTAGCTCACCTCGGCCGGAGTCGATAAGTATAAAGTGCGCCTCGGAAGGGAGCCGAGGCGTGAGTCCAAGGACAGGTGATTTAAAAGTCCTGATCGTCTGGCGGAAGGGTAATCCACGAGAGTGTCAAGGCCGATCGAACCCTCGAATTTGGTTCCCGAGTTGTCCCAAATGTGACCCACGGCTACCTTTGCAAAGTATGCCAGGGTGAGAGTTAGGAATACCCCCTCGCCTAAGTTGTAATTCGATTCGAGTCATTGCCTCTCCCGGTTTGTGAGAACTTGACGGGCTTATCTCCAAAGTAGATACACTAAATAACATAATGGTTCGTAAATGATGATATGATGACGACAACCTTATTATACCTTATGGTTAATATTGTTTGCTCCTAATAAGTGAGTGCTCTAGTACAAAAAGCTAATCTAGTGGATGGGTAAATGATGATAAACTTGATGCTAAGTTTAAATTGGGCACTATATTCATAAGCTCTTTTATGCAACTATGTCAAGCTAGCCCACCTCATAAGCCTTGCATGACTCTTGGTGTCCTTTATTTCGGTCTTGACGGGTAAGTCTAGTTGAGTACCTTCTCGTACTGTGGTTTATCCCACCATGTTGCGTGTGAAGTTCTCGGCCGTGAAGATGGTGGCTAACACCGTGGGCTCGGTGATTCTATAGTTACTTCTCATCTATATGCTTTTGTCTGATGATGTCACTTATGCTAGTAATATATTTGGAACTTATATTAATGTAATCATTTGAAAGCTATGTTGTTTTCACTAAATGGTTTTAAAACCCAAACTGGTACTTTTAATTGTGAACCCGGTTGTAATATTATTTCATTTGCAACCTCATGTATGTGATGTGTATTTGCTTAATCACGCGATCTTGGTTGTGATGTTGATTTACCGAGGTCTTTCGGGACACTCGGGCGGACTACCGGTTTTATATGAGTGAAGGTATGTGTGTGTCAACGTGTTAGCGGAGACAACCATACTTGATCTTGTATAAATTAGGCGGTTACTCACATGGAGCTCCCATGCTCCGCCACCGCTTCTCCTTCTCACGGATGATTGAAACCCTAGCTCCCGTGCCTTCGCGCGGTGGGGGTTGGATCTCGAGGTGGAGGCGCCCATCGCTGATGGCTTGGTGGCCGGCCTGGCGTCTCCTCGCTTGGGTGGGCGGCGGCGGCTCTGAAGACGCCTTGCCCTCGCTTGTTGGGCCGACGCCTGCTCCGGTGGCTTGCCTCGTTCAGCGTCGAGGTGGGGGGGGGATGGATCCATCACAGTGGGGTTGGGGGTGCGGTGATTGCGGCTTTCCTTTTTTAAGCGACTTGCGCGTGGACAGGAGGCGGGGATCGCAAGTGGGCAGACGGACGAACTAAAACAAATATCGCACCAAAAATTATCCACGCTTTGTTCTTTTTAGTTGTAGGAGATGAGGATCGAATTATCATTCTATGATGTATGCTACTATTGTCTTAGTGAATTCTATGCAAGCGAGATTAACATATTTGGATATCATTTAACTATAAATGTATCATTTCAAATCGCTATGATTTTATTATTTGATCTCTTAAATATAGGTATCCGTCGGATGTGAATACGAAATTTTATCCGTGAATATGCTTAAAAGTCAGCCACGGTATGTATTCGCGGACGAGTAAATATACTTTACCCGCATATCAGTCGACCCGCTACCATCCCTACTTCATCTGCTGGTGGCCTGCTGCTGCTTCGTGTGATAAAAACGTCTAAGGTCCCAATCAATCACCCTGTTCGCTTGATTGTTTTTGTGGTTTATAAGTTGGCTGATGCTATTTTGTTGTGAGAGAAAAACATTGTATTATGGCTGATAAGCATGGCTGATACGATCAAACGAACAGAGCGAATATCACCCTCTTGATCTTGATCAGACGGTGGATGGTAGGCTAAAGTCACGGTGTGACTTGAATCCATGTTCAAGGGCATGCTTGATTGACTCACAAAATTTGTCATGCCAAAGATTTGATAAGCAAAAAGTTAGACAAAATAAATTACCATAAATTTAGCGAGCCAAATGTTTTATCATGTTGATAAGCAAAAAGTTAGACAAAATAAATTACCATAAATTTAGCGAGCCAAATGTTTTATCATGCAAATTTTGGAGCGCACCCCCCCCGCGAAACCAAAAACCTTCTTTGCTAAAAAAAAATCAAAACCTTCTCTCGTTCCCCGCGTGTGCTCTCTCTCGCGCACGGCGACGACTGGGCAACCCGCCGCCGTTGCCCTACTAGGTCTCCATCGGGACCTTTGCCGGCGACGAGCAGGTACGCCCACCCCTTCTCTTCCCTTCCAGCTGTGCGAAACCGAGCACCCAAACCTAGTCGGATCTGATCAAATCACAATTGTTTATATGTATTGTACTTACTAATTTCGATACCCCCCCAAAAAAAAAAAAATTATCTGGTGATCCATCTGGGTCCGTCCCTGTGTTCAACTGAATCCGGTGCCCCTTCCTTAAGTCCGCCCATGCCCCTACTGGAAGTTGTGTAATGAGGATCGTGCCCACTTCCGACGATTTGTCTGTATAGTTACCGGGCCATTTTAACTCTAGAATGCATGATAGTAGCAAGTTACTGCTGCCTCACGCACACATAGGCAACTTAATGAAATGATTGTTTTATGATTATGCAATTCACTAGTGTTATCTTCGCAAGCACTAGTGTTATGCTATTTGCATCAAAATTTACTTGGATGTCAATTTGATCTTCACAAATAAGAAGGTTTCAAACATCTCGTATTACATCACCAATCAGTTTATGAATTGACATCCATAACCTTCTTTCTTTCAATGCAGATCTCTCTATACGATGAGCTGGAGATTTCCTCTCTTTGGGTATGTTGATCTAATTGAAATGAGTATATGTTGTTGCCATTATCTATGTTTTATGAGCCCTGGCATCTCATTTATCTGTCTGATTAGTTAGGTTTTACATATTCCTAATTGCCTATGTGCATGTGGTACTCCCTCCGTCCACAAAAGGATGCAATTCTCGCTTTTCGAGAAGTCAACTAATTGAGCTTTGACTAAAGTTATATAAAAAGGTACGAACTTTCATGATACAAAATAAGTATAATTAGATTAATTATGAAATATATTTCCGTAGTAAACTTTATTGGAGTACATGTTTTCTTTGGAACCTGCTAGTTCAAATAAGTTGTGCAATCACAACACTGTGGTGCCTAGTTTTAGTTTTTTTCCTCCCTGTATGACCCTGTGGTCCAAAAGTTCTTTAGCTAACCAAAGAGAATTTACCTGATTGCTATATGTGCCATTTCCTGTTGATGCATCTTAACAGTTATACTGAATGTTTAAGGATGCCATATAAGAAATTATGCTTACAAGTTCTGAAAAATTTGCTTCTCTTGATTACTGTCTTTGGCTCTGCTGAATGCGCTCATAGCAGCTCTCAGCAGCAGCAAACAGATCCAAATTTCCAGGACATCCCTACGCAGTCTTGGTACCCTCCCTCGGTTGTAGGTTCGTCTTCACGTCCATCCACCCCTACCTTTTCTAGTGCTAGTCCACACCTAAGAGCTTCAGATGATCCGCAGTCTTCATCCTGTGCGCAACCATCTCCTGCTGAGGCTGCAGGGATAATTGCCCGTTTGAAGGATAAGAGGTTAGCACAGTCTTATTTCCTTTAATGATTTATCTCTGGCTTTCTTGCATACAGGATTGTCTCCTGTCTCATATTTATTATGTTGCATTGAAATACTTAGTCATCCTTTACTATGAATCATATGCTTTTAGGGTTATCCCCAAACTGGGACATTTAACAAAACTGTGTCCAGATCTATAACATACGATTGCTCTAATTTTGATACCTTAACACTATACTAGGGCATGGTCCTTCAGCATATACCATTGTGTTATGGATTGGCATATCATATCTGTGTTGTACATATGTTAAGGCAAGCCTGAACAACCAGAAGCAGGCAGGTTGTAGGGTGATTGTAAGTTTAATAAAAGTAGAGATGAACTGGTTGTTTAGAACATGGCATTTGGTGTAGGTTGGAGAACTAGTTGATAAGTGCTGTATAATTTTGGATCGACCGTTTATGTACTGCTGATTCTTTGTGCTGTGTTTGTGAATTCTATATGTTGACAGCATATGTATTTGAACAATATTAATTTTCCTGACGATGCATCATTTGGCTGGAGTTGACAACCTTGTTATATCATGCTACTTTTTAATCAAAATTTTCTGTGCAGTATTGAGGAGTTAGAAGGGCGGGCCTGGTGCAAGCGGTACAGTCTTACCGCCTGTGACCGGAAGGTCCCGGGTTCGAGTCGCGGTCTTCTCACATTGCACAGGCGAGGGTAAGGCTTGCCACTAACACCCTTCCCCAGACCCCGCACAGAGCGGGAGCTTTCTGCACTGGGTACGCGCAGTATTGAGGAGTTACAAAGGATATTGAAAGACAAAGAGGCATATAATGCGTTCTTTAACTCACTTGATCAAGTGAAAACCCAGAACAATGTAAGCTCTGTTGCACGACCACTTTTTTATATTTGTGATGCTGAGTTCACCAGAGGATGCTGAAATCCTTTATGCGTCATAACCTACATTTTTATGGCCTGTTTGGAACGAAGGAATGAAAAACACAGGAAAGGAAAAACTATAGGAATAGGAAAGAAGTGTAGTGGCAAAACAGAGGATTGAAACACTTGAATCTTTTATGAGTTGGTGTTTGGAATTCAAGAATAGGAGCATAGGAAAATTGGAAATGAATAGGAATCCAATTTGCCTGAACTGGATGTGCACAACCTTTTTTATTTATTTATAGTCAACAACGGATGGATCAACTCATCTCTATAGGCATGAGAGTTTTTTTTCCTAGCCACTGATATATGAACCATTCGAATTGCTACCCCACAGCAGTGAAAGATTGAGTACTTCATCTATCTACTTTCTGCTGCTCGTTCCTTCCCAAGCTCGATCTTATCTCTTCCCCAAACCTCATCTGGTCTCTCTCCTTCACTGGCCAGCACCTCTCTCATCCCACACACATCCACCACTGACTTGTCCCAACTGGCAAGGGCAGGTCCTCAATGTCATTCCATTCGAGAAGGACCATTTTGCACTCGCGTAGGCGCTGATCCGCGTGGAAGCTGGAAAGAGAGGAGAGGTTGAGATAGGCTGTGTGGTGTCATTGCAGCGGTGCAAATCATGCTTCAATCCTGGTGGCCATGACACAATTGCTTCTTTGAGCTTCCTTTACCTCTGTTTTCTCTTTCACGCGCACCTTGGCCATCCACGAAAACTTTTGGGTTGAGCGGATGTTTTTTTCTTCTGCGTTTTGCAAAGCGGCGTGCTTTTCCAGAGGAACTGTGAGATTCATTGCTCCAACCCAAACGGCACCTGACGTCAGCCAAACATAGGAATTGCATTCCTCTGGATTTTGGAATTTTTTGAAATTCCTACAATCCAAATGGCGCCTAAGAGTGTCTCCCCACCTAATATTGTTATTCATGTTCCTTTGGATTCTGAACTTTGAAATTAGCTTTCTTTGGTTTGGTGGTTCCAATTATTCTTGAGGTTCCTAAGAATGTCTCGTCGTCCATATTGAATATCCTTGCCACACTGGTTATGGAAACAGTTTTGAAACCTTCTTGATTAGTTAATGATGTCAGAGTTCCAATGCTACTATTTTTGCTCATTATTTCTTCTTTACAGTCTATCTCCTAGTGTACAACATCCTTGAAAGCTTACATATTGTCAATCCTCTTGTGGGCTAAGTTTTAAGTTTTTAACACATGTTTCATCTTTCCTCTGGTGCCTCATCCATGCGTTGGTGGTTGTTTTGCAAGTATTTATGTTGTGACGTGACTGCTGCTTATCTGGTTTAGTGTTTTTTTTTCCTCAATGCCTCATCTCTGTCATACCCATATAGGAAATAACTGAAGTCTTGTGTATTTGCTGACTGGGCCCTCTTTCTTAATGTCAGGTGCATGATGAGCTTGGAAAGGAGACATTGCAACTTGCAAGTGAGTTATACATTATGTTTGTTTAAATAGTGGTGTTTGAATTGGTTTCAAAGAAATAATGGTGCTTCAAAAGTACCCTCTGACTTACAGAACTTCAAATAAGATATATTCTTACTCTCTTTAGTGTTGTAAACTATAGGGGAAAATTTAGAAAAGGAGCAGCGGATTTTGGAGCTTAGGAATCAGGTGCAGCACTGTCACCTATATGTCATGAAGAAAGAAAGAAAACATTGCTGTTGGGCTATTCATTAATAAATCAAAGGATCAGCATAGTTTATAAAATTTGTTAATATCATGAAACGACAACCTTGTAATACTGTTACTGTGAAGCTTTCTACTGATTTTGTTCTTATGTTTCCAGCCCTTCATTTCTTTGCTGTCATTTCATTTGCATTTATAATTTTTTGCAGTGCACAATAATTAGAACCACAGAACTGGCTGCTGCTCAAGACTGGCTTACTGATTTGGAGAGGCAAAAGGATGATATTATGAGGTCCTATTCCCCTGCCGCACTGCTCGACAAGCTCCAAAGTAAGTACTCTGAACAATAACATCTTCAGCTCCATCTCACCGGTAGCATACTTGTATCTGAGTTTGGTTATTTTCTGATCCATAATCGGTACAGTGTACAATGCATGTCAGTGTTCAGGCATATCTGTTTGTGCACGCTATATGCTAGAATCTTCTGAACTTTCTAGTTACCAGTTCAAAACAACAACAAAAAAGTAATATGCAATTCCAAGTGTTTGAATTTGTGACTAATCGCATTGTTGTTTCCTCGCATCAATGGGAAAGCTGGACGAGGAGTCTGAGGAGCTGCCCCAGAAGTTCCTGGAGAAAGACATCGACCTTCCAACCTTTGTGCAGAAGTACAAGAAGCTCCGCACAGCTTACCACAAGCAGGCGTTGCTCCATCTCGCCGGCCAGACATCACTCCGCTGATATCCGGCCTGGCATCGTGTCCAACTTTGTTGTATTCCTGCTCTCCTGTTCTTGTTCTACACTCTGCTTGGCCCTGTTTTATGAGTGCAGCTTCTTATAGGTCTGTCAAACATCAGTGGAGAACTGGAGATTGCATGTATAGTTATATGTCTTGCAAAACGTCTTGCCTACTCTGTCCTGGTGTTTACCTGCCGAGTGACCAAGTTGGTTTTATTTGTGGTAATTAAACCCTTCTTCAATTTTTTTTTCAGTGATAATAAAGCTTTCATATGGTTGCATTGATGGTTCGTGGATACACGTCCGTTCAGTGTAACTCCATCAAATGCTACTGTAGCGATCGTTCCTGTTCGGCTCGCACACTCCCAGCTTGTATCAGCTTGATCGAGACGAACGCTATTGAATCATCCGAAACCATCCGAAATTTACTGTGCACTGTACCAGCCGAACATATTGAGACAAGAAGATTAGTTCCTTTGCTCTTTGCTCCACTTGCAGTACAATCAAACCTGAATGCATTCTGGCAAGATGTGGTCAGTGCTCCGTTTGATTTTGCAAGGTCTATCCAGACGCGAATCTGACCATGTTTGCGCACACGGCACACGATGAGGATAGAATCGGCAGGTCTCAGTGCAGGCAGCACGCAGACGCTCCTGCTGATCTGACTCTGAAACACGATATGCGTCTCGATCGCGGAGCTCGTTCGGAACAGTTTTGTACGGCAAGAGGCGTACTACTTTGGATTCTATCCACGTTTTAAATAGCGAGCTATCAATTTTAGCGCTATCAATTTTAACGTGAGGCTGTCCTGGGCGCTATTGGCACTATAGCGAACGCTATAGCGGCAGCTAAATGCAGCAGCGTCAACTGATTGTTCACGCTATAGCGCGCTATTTGTTTATAATTCTACTCCCTCCATCCCAAATTGTAAGTCATTCCAAGAATTTTGGAGAGTCAAAGTTTTTCAAGTTTGACCAAATTTATATAACAAAATAATAATATTTATCATACCAAGTAAGTATCATTAGATTCTTCATTAGTTATATTTTCATATTATACCTATTTGATGTCATCAATCTTTGTGTTTCTCTCTATAATTTTAGTCAAACTTAAAAAAGTTTGACTCTCCAAGATTCTTGGAATGACTTACAATTTGGGATGGAGGAAGTAGAAAACATAAAAATCTGTCAATCACTCAATGTCTCAATCTGATAACTCATAAGTGATAACTGATAACATCCACCATAATAATCATAAGAGCAAAGTAGCAGATAGCCAAACAGGCAACATAACCACATGAGGTTCATACATGCAAAGCCAAACAATCAAAGGGATTAAACTTTAAAGTTTAAATGCATAAAGCCATAAACTCATGAAGTACACACTTTGCTGTTCTTTTTTTTTTTTGGTAATGACCGGGCCGGGCTGTTCAATTTGGCAATTTTGGGACATCCAGCAATAGCGGCGCTATGGCACTAAACGCACTTAGCGGCGCTTTAGCGCGCAATAGCGGCAATAGCGCGCATAGCGCAAAAATGAGCAATTGCGTCGCGCCAGTTCCTGTGGGCTGCTATAGCGCCACTATAGCGTCGAAATAGCGCGCTATTTTTTTCGTGGGATTCTATGTTGCCGAACTGAGAGCAACTCGTGCCGCGGCTGCGCAGCTGAATTCCTTCGGGCTAAATCTTATCTTAATCAGCAAAAAATAGCCATACATAACTCTTGCAACATAGTATGGGAATTTGAGATAAGACTAAATACCGAAAAACGAAATTGTGTTAATGCCCGGGCACAACAAGGCTAACCTAACCCTTTGTTTTTTTTTGAAAATGCAATTGCACACAAAGGTGCACAACACATCTTGTTAGTGCCAATATACGGTTACATTGGTTCAGCTTCTAAAAAGTGTTTCTGCTATTAAAAAGCAGAATGTCAATCAAACGGGCAGAACTAGAGAAAATTGCTTTTTTAATGTTGTCACCTATAGCTAGCTTAAGGTTAATTTGTTTGATTCGTTTACACTGTGCATGCCCTTATAGATAGCTTATATACTGTCTTTAAGAAACTCTATGGGATAGTAAGGTGTGCCATATATTAGTGGTGCATTATTATATATCAATAGCCAACTACTATGTGACTGTGTTGTGTGTTATTAGAAGGTTGTAGATGATACGATAATAATATACAATCAATAGTTGATTGTATTATTAGCCATGCTCTAAGGATAGTCCCGACCATAGAAAGTGCGCCCTCTATTTTAAATTGTAAGATGTTTTGACTTTTTTAGGTACATAATTTTTGCTATAAACTTAGATATATATCATGTCTAGATATATATTAAAAATAAAATATCTAGAAAACCCAAAACGTCTTATACTTTGGAAAGGAGGGAGTATATGAGATAGTTTCCATCATTGCCAAGTAACGTAGGAGCCACACATAAAAACTATATCTCTAATACATGATTTTTATTCAAATTATTTTTTTGTCATAGCTTATCTTTTTATAATTTTATCATTAATTTGTCACACCTTTTTCTATCTTAGTTTCTGCTTAGACAGTTTAAGAAACCATTTCCCTTGTTCTTCTCCTTATTTCTATTGTCACGTTATTATTTTTTTTACCTGTCATATTGGCACTATAAATCCTACTCTCTCCATCCTAAAATAAGTGCACTTCTAGCTTTTGTTGGAGAGATCAAGGATACTAAAAAAAATTATTTATATATCCCTACTAAAGTTGCCCCAACATGTAATAATTGCACCTTAAGAATAGAAAAAAGTAAAAAAAAAGGCTACTATAGTTAGGTAGTACATAGCTGGATGTGCATTTATTTTGTGACAAAATTTAAATACTAGAGGTGCAATTATTATGAGACAGAGGGTCGTTTTGTTAGACTGCCCATAATACAAAAACAACTATGGTAGTCCTTTTTTTAAAAACAAAAGCTATCCTTCCTATAAATACACATCTCGTTTTTCGAGATTTAACTTTGACTTGAAATACAGAAATAGTATCAACATTTCTACTTTTAGATAAATTTATTATCAAAATTATTCTATGCTTAATCTAATGATATTTATTATACATTATGAATATTAAAAGGTTTGACTCTTAAGAAACGATATGTATATTTATTTTGTGACGAAGTGAGTAGTTTTTTCTTTTAACTTTGTAGTCGGTCTATTAGGACTGTGTAACACAAAAACAAAAGAGATCAGCCGTTCAGCGACAGTAAAAAAAAAGCGTCCCCTGAGCAAAGTCAATCAGACCAACTTTTACAGCAAGGCAGCCCATCAACCACCTGCCACCACCCGATGCAGAATGCACGCGTGAGATCAGCCCATTAAAAACCTGTTCCCTGCCTCCTCTCCCCCTCTCCCGGAGTACCGGTCCACCGCCTGCCCTGCCCCGCTGCTGGGGCTTTTACATTTTTATCATTATTAAGATCGGCGCTTATCCGATTATCACTCTTATTTTGACACTTACAACTTTTTACCACATGAGACAAGTCTGAGTTCTTAATTTACCACATTTGCGCATGTAGCACGCCACACCAGCCTGACACGTTGGCGCCTAGTCAGCATAGGCACGCGAAATGTCCTTGCTGCCCCTGACCTGCTCCTCTCTCTCCATCTCTGACAACCGGGTCCTGCAGCTCCCTCTCACTGCCAGGTGGGCCCCACTCGTCAGCTTTGTCTTCCACCTCCCAGAATCTGGTCCTCTATGGAGCAACTTGCTCCCCATGCGAGCTCCCAGTGGTGAGCCACCACCTCGGTCTCCTCTCTCCAGCCTTCATGAAGCCAGCGGTGGAGCTACTCGCCCACCCCACGGGTGAGGGCGATGAGAAGCTGCCGCCGCTCACGCCTCCTCCCTCGGCTTCCTCACGCCGTCTTTGCTCGAAGCCTCCGTCTGACCAATCCCCACGCTGGCGGGTGGCACATGGCAAGGCTGGTGGCCCTAGCTGTGCGTGAGGTCGACGTTATACATGCGCACCGTATCCTCGTCATGAGCAAGCTCGGCCGACAACATGGCCGCCATGGTCATGCGGGCGAGCCCTGGCCGTGGCATAAGACGGCGAGCTTCGCCCACCTCCGCCGCTTCATGTTCCTTCGCTGTGGATTTGTGCCCGTCTCGGGAGAGCGCGTGCGTGCTTTCGTTGGATTTGGAGCTTGCTGCCGTGGGTACCTTCAAAGGTCATGCCGCGTGCTTCGCTTCGGGGGCCAATCGGCCCGAGCTCGCTACGCCGCCATGGCCGCCCCTTCACCCAAAGACCGCTCTTCCTTCCCAAATGGCCGGAGGTGGAAGACAAAGTTGACGAGTGGGGCCCACCTGGCAGTGAGAGGGAGTTGCAGGACCCGGTTGTCAGAGATGGAGAGAGAGGAGCAAGTCAGGGGCAGCAAAGACATTTCGCGTGCCTATGCTGACTGGACGCCAACGTGTCAGGCTGACGTGGCGTGCCACATGTGCAAATATGGTAAATTAAAAACTTAAACTTCTCTCATGTGTTAAAGTTGCAAGTGTCAAAATAAGAGTAATAATCGGATGAGCGTCGGCCTTAATAATGTTAAAAATGTAAAAGCCCCCCGCTGCTCTCGTTCTTCCCATTCTCCAGCCGCCGCGGCGACGCGCAGACCTAGCACTAGCAGGGAAACACCCGAGATGGCGATGGCTCTGCGCCGCCTCGCGGGCGTGTCCGGCTCGCCGTCGGCCTCCGCTGCCGCGGCCGCGCTGCTACTCCGGCCGGCGCTGACCCGCCCGATCTCCACCGGCTTCCGCGAGGAGCGCGACACCTTCGGTCCCATCCAAGTCCCCAACGACAAGTGCGTGGTTTCCCCCTCGCCCCCATAGATGCATAGCAGCTTTGTCCCGTTGATCTAATTTGTCGCGCGTTGTTTTGATCTGCTGGTGTCGCCGGCAACTAAGATGCTGTGGTTGATCTGATGGCTTCCGGCTGTTGTGTTCTGTTTCGGGCAGGCTGTGGGGCGCGCAGACGCAGAGGTCGCTGCAGAACTTCGACATTGGCGGGGAGCGCGAGAGGATGCCCGTGCCCATCATCCGCGCTTTTGGCGTGCTAAAAAAGTGCGCCGCTAAGGTACAAAGTGAAACTGTTTTTTTGTTTTCTGCGCGTGGTGGGTGGGTAGATGCATTCCGTTGATTATCCTTTGTGGGCACTGCAAACTGTAAAGCAATTTCCGCATTCCATGGAAGGAATGATTGTAATAAGCAATGCGTGATGTGCCCAAATTCCATCTGCTATATTATTCAGTGGTTATGATTGTATTTTGGAGTATATAAGATGACAACTCTGGATTTTCCTGTTTGTTGTGAGCCACCAAGTATCTGTTTGTTAGACTTATTATAAGATCACATGTGGATGGGACATGCTAGTTACAACTTATAGTTTGTTTGACTTATCAAATGTCACAAGACTACTAATTTCAGATAAATTCCATATTAGATAGGTGCTTCTCACTTTGTTTTTAACCAATTTCAGATTGCTCTGTAGATCACATTAGACACAGTAATTAGTGCCAGCTCGAACTTTTCTATATACTTTCAACTTTTCACTTTGGTAGTTTTTAGGCTACTTGTATCATTTATGTATGGATACTTTTCCTTTTTCTTTTGAAGGTAAATATGGAGTATGGCCTTGATCCAACAATAGGGAAGGCCATAATGCAGACAGCTGAGGAGGTCGCAGAGGGAAAGTTGGATGATCACTTCCCACTTGTTATCTGGCAAACTGGCAGTGGCACACAAAGCAACATGAATGCCAATGAGGTTGGTGTTCTACACATCTAATATTTTTACTTCAAATCTTTCACCAGAAGTGTCAATTCTAAAGTAGTATGGCTGTTGATTAGAATAGTAATCCCTGCTAAAGTGTGAAAAGTTAAGCTTCACTGTCCAAACAGTGGGCAAACTGAACCTACCTCCATCTGTGCTCCACTCTGCTGATTGTCTGTATGCAAAACAGTATTTACTTTTCCTGTTAAGCTAATGCTCATGTGAATTTTATTGTGTACTTAGCATGTTTTTGCCAGTTGTGCCATATCGTTTATGATCTCTTTTCCCAATTTAGGTAATTGCAAATAGGGCAGCTGAGATCCTTGGACACAAGCGCGGTGAGAAGTTTGTGCACCCAAATGACCATGTGAATAGGTCACAATCTTCAAATGATACATTTCCCACTGTAAGCTTTAACTATTTTTTAAATTTTTATTTCAGTATTACTATTACTGCTGCAGATGTTTATTATTCATGCTGTTGACATTTCCAGGTAATGCATATAGCGGCGGCTGTTGAGATAAATTCGAGGTTTATCCCAAGTTTGCAACAGTTGCATGATTCACTTCATTCAAAAGTATTAATTTCTCATTTCCTTCCATGGGAACTATTTTACTATGCTTGTCAAATGCCTTTTATAATTATTGTGACCCTTTTTGTACTATGCTTGTTAAGTGCCTTTTGTATAATTATATCATGACCCATTAATATTATATTAGCCTACTGCGAATTTGTGCCTATTGATTATATGCACCTGCTGATTAGGGATTCAGATCGAAATTGAAACATTAGAAACTTAGAAAATTGTCTAGGGCATTGCTTGTACAAGAACTGCATAGTGGCTCCTAACTCTGTACAAGTTCTGTAGCAGTCCGTTAGAGTCGCTTAATTCTTTGCCCAATTGAAGTTTGTATTAATAATTAGGTGCTAATGAGGTAACCCATACCCTGGTGACCACTTCATACCAATTTGTACATGCTAATGGTAATATGTATAAGCATCTCTTATAAAGTTCATTCTTCTTCCTTTTTTCTCCAGGGCATCTCTTATAAAGTTCATTCTTCTTCCTTTTTTCTCCAGGGCATCTTTTTATTTGTGGAGTGGGTTAGTGGGTGATTTATTTTTATGTTCTTTTTTTTAAAAAAGTTCCTGCTATCCGTGTTTTGTTGTTATAAATTGATTTCAGGGTAATCTGTTTTCTGATTCATAGTTTACTTTTGCTTTATGTAAATTCTAGGATGGAATGGAACAAGCTAGCTAGCCGCCCATGCATATACGACACATACAAACCCACAAAGACTATATAGCTAGGATAGAGTATAGGCACCAATACTACAAAGATATATTTTACAAACCTGAAATATAATCGAGAAACAAAACTATATAATACTGGAGTATATAGTAGCGATCTTTAGCGAGTAACCATCTGCACGCGTACATACGAGTTCTATATGTATGCCTTGAGTTGTAAGTAACTCACGAACCACTTGGGTGTCATGCGTCGCAAGCGTGCGTCGAATCACTTCGCCACGTGCACCGGCCACTCATCGATGCGATTTGGAACGGTAGTGGTGCAGTCACGCCACGGCGTCATCGATCAACGCGAGAGTCGAGAGGATGACGACCTCTGCTGGGTCTTTGGGCGGCGCCATGCATGAGTCGATCATCATGGTGGGGGTCGACCAGCGGCCGCCGTGTGGGTCCTAGATGTCTTTGGCGGCTTCGGGCGAACACCTTGGGGGCACCTCTCCTGAAGCCCCGCAGTCAAGTCCTCCACCTCGGCGGCCGCGTCATGAAGTCCTCGAAGTCGTCTCGCTCTCGGTGCGAGGCCGCCGCCGCCAGCTCGTGGATCATCTGCTGGTGACGCTGCATCTCCATCGTGGTGGTGGTGTTGTCGACGTGGTAGCCCTGTGTTTGCGGCACGGCGGGCGCCATCATCACGCTGCCGCATGACGACGGCGGCGGCGTCATCTGGAACGTCTGGTGGTTGTTGTAGTTGTAGGTGGGCGAGGCCGCCACGGCCGCCGTGGTCACCGGTGGCGAGCTGGCGTAGGAGTTGGAAAAGGAGCCAGAGTTGGACGACGACGCGTCGACGGAGTAGCTGGAGGAGTACCGCATCATCATCATAGGCTCCGCCGCCATGGCGGCTCTTCTTCTTCTTGGTAATCGGTGGTGGCGGTTGTGCGGCGCGCGCCACGGTTGGGCTCTCGGATCTCGACCACCCACTTGCCCCAGATCCGGCTGGCGACGCCTTGCAGTCGGCATCGCTTGGTTGTCCGCCCGCCTTGCCCTTCATGCAACCCTTAAGAATTAGCGCAATGGGCAAACCTACTATGTCCCTCTTCTTTGCCGCCGCCGCCGCCGTTTTGTCTTTTGTTCGCGCCGCGCGGCCAGCGATGTTGATGATCGTGGTGCGATTTTGTCATTTGGTGGACTTGCGGTGGTGGATTTAATCTATCTTGTCATTGTCATTTGTCATTGTCGCCGTCATTGTCGCCGCATTTGCATCGCCGCCACTTCCATAGCGACCGGTGGCAACCGATGATCCATCTCGACCACTTTCGTCCCTCCGTCTCGTCCTGCAGATCGATCGATATGGCGATCGACCGTGGCGATGGATGCTAGCAATGCAACCCTTGCACGGGTCTCGGTGCCTTGTGTGTGTGCTTTGTGTGAGGCTCTCGCCCGGTATACATAGACAGTTGGCAAGGCATGCAGATGGAGCAATCAGAGGCGTGCAGCAAAGCGATCTTTCAATATGCGCAATGAAGGCAAAGTGGCGCGCAAGGCAGAGAAGCCGGCGATGTAGCATCGCATGGCGCCCGTGTAGGCGGCGGCACCAGTGGGGCCTGGGCATGGGGCTACCCGGGCGCGCGCGCGCCAAGTAAGAGAGGCGGGTGACACGAAGGGGTGGGGGCGGCGTAGGCGGGACACATGGACACTGGGTGGGCTCCACAAGTCGCAACACAAGGGCCACGTGGCGGCCAAGGCGACCGAGCCGACCTAGTGAGGTCACACTAATGCAGCCCTTGCCTACCGACCCATGGACGCCGATGCGGATGCAACCACTGCCTACCATCGGCCGTCTTCTATCTATAAATCATCTATCTATCCATGAATCCATCTCCATCCATCCATGGATCGCCCGATCCGCAAGCCACGACCATGGCTTGGCGCTTGGACGCCGGGATTTGGATATGGATCTCAGATGTCTGGTTCTCGAGCCCCACACAGATCATACCACCGACCACGGTCTCCGCACGCACGCAACGACGGACTGACGACTTTGCCCTTGGCCCTCCCTCCCTGTTGTTTTTGTTAGTCGCTGAATTCTCACTCTTGGTAGCAGCAGAATTCTTACTCTCATCGAGAGAGACACTAGGAGTTGAGGCAATTTTCTGGTTTTATTTCTCACACAAACTCACACAAATGCCATGCCAACATGAGGAGTTGGGGATACATATTTATAGGCTGCTAGCCAGCCAAGCATATGCCTAGATGCTATCCTAGATGCTAAGATGCCAGTCAAGGATGCTGCTGCTGCTGTCCTCTGTCCCAGTCAAGGATGCTGCTGCTGTCCTAGTCAAGGATGCTGTCCTTGATGGCAGCAAAAACCACAAAGACCACCATGCTGCTGCAGCCCCACAAAGACCACAGAGACTTATCCATCATTCTCCCCCTAAGTCTTGTGCGTCGTCTTGTGGGGAAGTTGAACCATCCCGGTCCTGGAGCAGAGCTCAAGGAACTTGATCCTCCCAAGAGGCTTGGTAAGCAGGTCCGCAAGCTGGTCCTTGGTGTTGATGTAGCTCGCCTTGATGCTCCCGTCCTCAAAACAACCTCGGATGAAGTGGTACCTCACCCGGATGTGCTTGCTGCGTTCATGGAAGACGGGGTTCTTTGCCAGGGCCAGAGCGGACTTGTTATCCACCCTGAGCTCCACCGCTCTAGTGTCTCTGCCGAGGAGATCACCAAGCAGTCGGGCGAGCCAGAGCGCCTGAGTCGAAGCGGTGGAGGCCGCTATGTACTCGGCCTCGCAGCTGGACAGGGCCACCACCTGCTGCTTGACCGATCGCCACTAACGAGGCACTTGCCGAGGAAGAAGAGGATCCCGCTTCGTGCTCTTGCCGGTGTCGATGTCGCCGCGCGTGGTTCTTTGTCATTACCGACGGCAAGTGTGCCGCCTGTGGCACCTCGGGTAGTAGAGGCCGTGGTCGAGAGTCCCCGCAACGTAGCGGATGATCCTCTTCACGACTCTTTGGTGCTCCGTCATCGGTCATTGCATGAATCGACTAACGTAGCCGACGGAGAATGCCAAGTCCGGCCGAGTGTGGGCGAGGGTAGCGAAGGCTCCCCACAAGACGCCGCAGATCGTGTGGCGCCCACCTCCTCCGTCGTCTTTGTCATGCGGCTCGACTTCACCTCTCCTCCATCGGAGTGAGAGCTGGGTTGCGATCGGTGAGCCCAAATAGCTCAATGACGCGCTTATGTGGGGCGGTCTGTCAAGCGTGATCCCGGAGTCATCCCGGTGCACCTCGATTCCTGTAGAAGGAGAGAGCCCGTCACTCACTCATCCGGAAGGTGGCCTTCATCTCTTCCTTGAATGCCACCACCTCAAAGATCCTTGGTGCCGGTGATCACCAAGTCGTCGACGAGACACCCACCGCAGAGCATTTCCTCCATCGCCCGCACGGTAGATGGTCGCCTCGTCGCGGGCTTTGCTCAAGCCCATCCCTTTAGTGTGGAATCCAACTTGGCATTCCACGCCCTCGATGCTCGCCGCAAGCCATAGAGGGCCTTGCTCAAAGGTGAGCACCTTGCCCTCCTTGCCGGGATCGCAAATCTCGGCGGCCGGTGCACGAGACCTCCTCCTTCAAGTCGCCATAAGGATCGCCGACTTGACGTCCATGTGATGAACACGCCACCCTCCCGGCGCTAAGCGCAGGGAGGAGTCGCACGGACTCCATCCGTGCCACGAGAGCAAAGGCGTCGTCGAAGTCGACCCCTCCTCCGCCGCACGAAACCTCGTGCCACCAAGCGAGCCTTGTGCTTGACGATGGCACCGGCTTCATCCTCTTCGACTTGTACACCCACTTAAGGGTGATCGCGCGATGACCACGAGGAAGGTCGAGAAGCTCCCAAAAGCGGTTCTTCTCAACCGCATCCATCTCCAATCGCATCGCGCGCGCGCATGCCAGCGTGTCTCTCGGCCTCGCAAACGACCGAGGCTCGCCGTCAAATCACGCAAGGTGCAATCGCGCCTCCAGTCGTGAGGCACCGGTCCCGCAGACCGCCGGTGATGCGCCGAAAGGTTCTCCATCGTGACGGCATCGCATAACGGCTCACCGTCGTGGTGCAGCGTCGACGCGCTCCTCGTCGTGAGAGAGAGCGGAGTAGCGAAGCTCAACCGGCCGTGCTCGACACGAGTTGGTGGAGTAGACGTGTCGGAGTGGTGCCTGCTGCGGTCTTTGGAGGTGCGTGGCGCTGCTTACCGTGGTGGAGCCGCGAAGAACTCATCGCAGCCCGAGGTCCCGGCCGGAGAGCGTGGTCTTTGCTCGAGTAGCAGCGCCGGGTCGATGGAGGCTCGGGGATCGGGGTAGACGCGCTCGCCAAGAAGAGCCGCCTACTCCCCCAGCTCCCCTCGGTGGACGTACTCGACAGTGAAGTCGTACGTCGGAGCCGAGCCGTCGTCCACAACCTTGTCCCACGCCCATTCTCGCCCTTCGTCGAACACAACGTCGTGTGCCGTGCGCACACGCCGTGTCTTCGGGTTGAGGATGCGGTAGGCCTTGAGCCTCCGCGTGGCCGATGAACACTCCCGAGTGCTCCCGCTGCCGAGCTTGCTTGATGTGGCCAAGCTCCTTGGCGAATGCGAGGCGCACCAAGACCCGCAAGTGGGAGACCGCCGGCTTGCGCCCATGCCAAGCCTCGTACGGCGTCCTGCCGACGAGCGCCTTGGTAGGCGAGTGGTTGAGGATGTAGACGGCCGTCACCACCGCCTTTCTCCCCTAAGAAGACACCGGCATCCCCTCTCGCTTGAGGAGGGCCCGAGCCATCCCTACAACCGTCTGGTTTGCACCGCTCGACGACGCTGTTCTCTGCAACGCGGTCAGACGGCGGAGTAGTGGCGTTGAATGCCCTCGTCGGCAGAAGACGACGCGAATTCAACCGCCGTGAATTCGCCCGCCGTTGTTGGTGCGCAAGCAGACGCGCAGCTTTGGCGTCACTCCACCTCCTCTGCGCAGCTTCTTGCATGGCGGATGGCGTCCGCGACCTCTCCCTTGCTGCCGAGAACCATCACCCACATGTAGCGGGAGAGGTCGCCGACGAAAGCGCAGGAAGTAGCGTCGTCCTCCCGGTGTGGCCGTATCACCGGGCCACACAAGTCCCCGCACACAAGCTCGAGCCTCTCCTTGGCTCTCGAAAGCTCGCCTACATTGGGAAAAGGGGAGTCGCCTGCTTCGCCAACACGCAGACGTCGCAGTTGCGCTCCACATGGTCGAGGCACGGCAGGCCTCGCACCATCTCCGTGGCACCGAGCCGCCTGGGGCCTCAAGTGGAGGTGCCCGAACGCTGCGTGCCATCGCCACGCCTCGTCATCCCGACGAGCAGCGAGACAGAGGGGTTGTGCCACCTGCACGTTGAGGACGTAGAGTCGATTTGCGCTTCTGGTTACCTTGGCAAGAAGGCTACGACGGCGATCCCAAATCCTCATGACTCCATCCTCAACCACCACGCGTGAACCGCTTCTCATCCAAATTGTCCCAAGTCGATGATATAGTTCCTCAACGCAGGATGTAGTAGACTCCGGTGAGCGACTGTGCTCACACCGGACACTGCAGCGGTGAAGATGACGGAGCCGACGCCCTTGATCTCCACGCCGAGGCATCCCCAAACTTGACGGAGCCTCGAACGCTAGAGTCAAGCTCGGTGAAGAACTCCGTCGACCGGTCATGTGATGGGTGGCGCCGGTGTTGAGGCACCACCCGTCCGATCTTGTCGTTCTTGCGGGCTGTCGCCGAGGAGGCGGTGCTTTTGGCTCGTCAAGGTGGAGGAGAGCATTGCGGCGGTGCTGCCGGAGGTAGCTCGATGCTTGCATGTGCCATGAACAGAGCCGGCTCCTCCGCTTTGCGCGACGTGGGCACAGCGTTGTGGTTGCCGATAGTCCTTGGCCCAATGACCAAGCCGCCGCAGCTTGCGGCGCGCTCGTCTTAAGCTTGCCAGGCTCGCCGGCGGCGCCGCTGGCGCCTCGCGGGCATCACCTCTCGCACGCCGTCCTCGCGCCCTGACCCTAAGCGTCTCTGCGCGCCTTTGCGCGGCTTGCCACGCCATGGCCGCTGTCGCGGAAGAAGGCTCCCCCTTCTTCCGGTCACCTTGGCTGGCAAGCCACTGCTCCCGAGTGAGAAGGAGCTTCCCGCCAGTGGTGATGGGCCTCGAGAGAGACTGTGGCTCATCGCTGTCGACGACCTTGAGGCGACCTATCGCCTCCTCGATGGACATCGTGGAGAGATCCAGCAGATACTCGATCGAGCAAGCCATCTCGCTTGTACTTCTCGGGGACGCACCGGAAGAGCTTTTCGACGGCTCTCTCCTCGCTGTAGGTGTCATCGCCGAACTGCACCATCTTCTGCAACAGAGTGTTGAGACGGAGAGCAAAGTCATCAACGTCCTCACCTGGCTTTAAGGCTAGGTTCTCCCACTCCTTGCGAAGTGCCTATAGTGTGGACTTGCGGGCGCGGTTGCTGCCGATGCGTGCCGCAGCGATGGCGCCCCAAAGCCTCCTTGGCGATCCGCTTGTTGGTAAGCGAGAATCGCATCTCGGCGGGATCGGCGATGAGGGCATCCAGCGCCCGTCGATCTAGGTCGTGGTCGGCGTCGCCGTCACCGGACCGCCTCCCACATGTGCCGCACTGGAGCTTTACCTCATCACCGCAGCCCACTTGACGTAGTTGGTCTTGGTGAGGTAGGCCACCCACCGCCGGACCGGCGTCCCCGACAATAGCTGAGCCCGTGGTAACCACGGTACCGATCCGGGAGAGAGAGCCACGCCAGCGCACGTGAAGGCCGCTGCGCTCTCCATCGACTGCCGGTACCGATCCGGGAGAGAGCCACGCCGCTGTGGCCGCGCGCTCTCCATCGACCCGTCCGCCACCGTTGCCGTGCGCGCCTCCTCCAGGAGCGCCGCCGCCGTGCGCGCCTCCACCAGGAGCGCCGCCGGCGCGTCCGCGCCTGTCTGGGCTGCCGCCGCGCTCGTGGGCGTGTGCGGCTGCCCCAGGAGCGCCACCGCCGTGCGCGCCTCCTCCAGGAGCGCCGCCAGCGCGTCCGCGCCTGTCTGGGCTGCCGCCACGCTCGTGGGCGTGCGCGGCTGCCCACTGCGCCGCCCGCGCTGCCTCCCTCTCTAGCAGCTCGAGGTCCGCGTCGGCGGTGTCGTCAGCGGAAATGGAGCTGCCGATGCTGCCGCGTAGAGCCTTGACCTCCGCTGCCGCCGCACGCGCTACATTCGCCGCCGCCGCTGCTTCCGCCTCCGCTCTGGCTACTGCTAGCTCCGCCGCTGCCAGCCTCGACGCCCTTGCCGCCGCCGCTCGCTCGCGTTCCTCTGCCGCGGCAAGTTCGGCCTCCTGCCGACGCCGTGTGCTCGAGGCGACCGAGCGCTGAGACTGCCCTGCGGACATGACGCGCTACCGGGGGGCTGCTGCGTGGGGAGAGGGCTGCTTCAGACGGGGAGGAGTGAGCAGGAGCGGCCGGAGCTGCTGCTCGCAGCTGGGGCTGTTGTGTGGCTGGGAGAGGAGATGAGCAGGAGATGCTCAGGCAACAGGATACCAATTGTTAGTCGCTGAATTCTCACTTTTGGTAGTAGCAGAATTCTTACTCTCATCGAGAGAGGATGACACTAGGAGTTGGGGCAATTTTCTGGTTTTATTTCTCACACAAACTCACACAAATGCCATGCCAACCTGAGGGGTTGGGGATACATATTTATAGGCTGCTAGCCAGCCAAGCATATGCCTAGATGCTATCCTAGATGCTGTCCTAGATGCTAAGATGTCAGTCAAGGATGCTGCTGCTGCTGTCCCAATCAAGGATGCTGCTGCTGCTGTCCCAGTCAAGGATGCTGTCCTTGATGGCAGCAAAAACCACAAAGACCACCATGCTGCTGCAGCCCCACAAAGACCACAGAGACTTATCCATCATTTTTAGTAAAAAAAATAGTAGTAGTATATTTTTGCGGCAGTAGACATACATGGGCAGTAGAAGAGGCCGTTGCCGTAGATGGGCAACCAAATGGGCACAAATAGATGATGATGTGGACGCACGGTAGAGCAGTAAATGGTGTACAAAAATAAGGGTAATGGTAGATAAGCTTGTTATTAGTGATCTCAGCACTTAGATTACAAATTGACTGAAAAGATTGAACAATGCGCTCAATGAAACTAGTATAACGAAGCGAATGGGTCTGTAGCCTAGTTGTTCACAGGAGTCTTAGTTGCAACTCAGTTCCTGGGTTCGACTCCTGGTGGAAACGAATTTAAACAGGCCTGGGTTAAAAAACACTCCTCGTCGGCTGTGTTCCCGAGTTATACGTGTAACCACCTGAGTCGCTTTCAGCGAGATGCACATTGCCGCAGGCATGTGTCCTGGGCGCTCGGTGGTAAGTCCAGGGCACCTGGCCTTTTGTTTTTTGCCTTGCGCGCGAGAAGTTTGTTTTTAATCAATGCAGCAGGGGCGGTCCTTCCCCAGCAGGTTGTTTTTTTTTAAACTAGTACAACGAACCCCACAGAATATGTGTTGACTTTCAGCTGAATAGCTGATTAAACTAATGTTGGTTTCCTTGACATGTTAACCTATGGTTGGCAGTGCCAGTAGCTATATGTAACATTATATTTCTGTATTGTTATATAGTAAATTTTGTTTTAATGAATTTGCTAACCTGACTGTGCAGACTGTTGAGTTTAAAGACATAATTAAAATTGGACGTACACATACCCAAGATGCTACCCCGTTGACTCTTGGCCAAGAATTCAGTGGTTACACTACACAGGTAGGATTTATTCCAGCGTCTTTTGTTGTCTTATTTATTAACTATATGCACTTAAGATTAACAGGTAGACTTAGTAACTGTTTATGACTCTATGCAGGTCAAATATGGAATTGACCGTATTAATTGTACATTACCTCGGATGTACCAGGTACTATACTGCTAATGTTTGTTTTCTTTACAAATAGCACTACTGATAATTACCTTGCTGAGCAGCTTGCTCAAGGTGGAACTGCAGTTGGAACTGGCTTGAACACTAAGAAAGGGTAATTGTCAATTAATGTTTGAGATAATTTGTTTACATTGATACGTTTGATCGATAAATTTTAATTTGGTTTTGGGTTAAAGTCCATTTATGGCCCCTCAACTCTGGCGTTTGTCTAATTTTAACCCCCAACTATAAAACCGTTTAACTTTGACACCTCAACTATCAAAACCATTTAACTTTGACACCTCAACTATCAAAACCGTTTCATTTTGATCACAGAGTCATCTGAAAACCACTCAGAACTGCTTTGGGTGTCAAAATTGAACGGTTTTGATAGTTGATGTGCCAAAGTTAGACAAAAGCAAGAGTTGAGGGGTCAAAAATGGACTTAATCAAGTACTTTCGTTTTTTAGATATTTATGCAAAATTATATATTTAGATTTACTTCTTGAGTTACCTAGTAGTCTATCACCATTTGCCTCGGGAAGAGAATCCATGTAACCCTGTCATCCAGAGTGTCATGAGCCATGACATAACCCAGATTAATCTGTTCATTCCAATTAGTTTCAATACTATCTAATCTCTTTTTCCAGTTTGACCTCTCATGTCTACTTCTGGATTAAAAGAAGTGAGACATGGAGATTTGAGTATCCAACCCAAATTGATTTTTTTTCTTTTATATGGTTAATCATTACTAATCTTATGGTACTTGATTTAGGATAACTTTGAAACAGAGTGTTAATTCCATGCTTTACCTAAGGCGTTCCTTTCATTTATTAAATACTTAAATTTCAATCTGTCTTTTCAGATTTGATGTCAAAATAGCTGCTGCAGTGGCTGAGGAAACAAACCTACCCTTTGTGACAGCAGAGAACAAGTTTGAAGCTTTGGTTAGTAACAATGCACACATATAAATCTTATACTCTGATCTGCCACTAGCCACCGAAGGTTTCAGACAATTTTATTGGATATTACATGACATTTTAATTGCAGTGTCTGAGGCTATAACTGCCTGCAGACATATTCGTCCACTAAACACAGATATTAGGTATTTGCAATGTAAGATGATTTGTGGAAGATCCTTATCATCTTCTCCATTTATTCCATGCTACCTTAGATCTATGCGTATAAAACAAGGAATTTGTTAGTGCTTAGCAGTCGAAAGTGCATTTTTAATATGTTGCCTCAGAAAATGAAAATAACAAGTATTTGCGAACTGAAACCAACGGACACAAATATCATCTGTTCCCAAGTTGAGCAGATGAAATATTAAGATGTGTATGTCACTTTCAGTTATTTTATTTGATAGTTGTTAGGCTTTGTTCTTTATAGAAGCAAAATCCAACCACTTCTTGCTTGTATAGTGTACTTAGTATTAGTATGGCTTTTGGTTTTATTGTCTCGCTAACTTTTCTTTTTCTAATTTTGTATTATTCAGACTCTCTATTATCTCATCACTGTATGTTCTCATCAGTTTTTTCTTATAATTAGGCAGCGCATGACGCTTTTGTCGAGAGCAGTGGCGCGGTAAATACAATTTCTGCATCTCTTATGAAGATAGCAAATGACATACGCTTGCTAGGAAGGTCGTTATTCCAATCTTCTATTTTTATAAATGATTTTTTCTAGCATGCTGGGGGCATGCACTAATATTTCCAACACAATCACAGTGGTCCTCGATGTGGTCTTGGTGAACTAATCCTACCAGAAAATGAGCCTGGGAGCAGCATTATGCCTGTAAGCAGACTGTTAGTATATCATGTTATGGTTTTCATATGTTTATCAACAGAATACATCATTCCGAAGCTTCTTTTTCAACTTGTACTTTTCAGGGAAAAGTTAATCCAACCCAGTGCGAGGCTCTGACAATGGTTTGTGCTCAGGTACACAAATAATGTTTGTTTTCTCTTCTGAAAATAATCAAATCTCCATATTGTATTTTTGACAAACATTTTTCTTGTTTGCTTTATGTTCTTGATGAACAGCTTTACCTTTATTTGAAAAGCATTTATGTTCCATTGGTATACCATTTATTTAGTCATATATATTTATGTTATGGTTCTCATAATCCGTATCAAACTCATAATCCTAGTGAGGACTACATATTCATCTATTATGATGTTTAATGGTTAAGGTGATCTGCACCTCATAACTACCTTCCAGCTTGCTTAGTTAGTCAGAAACATTTTTAGGGAGCAGTTGTCATTTCCTGTAGAAATTACATATATCTGAGTCATTTAATTTGTCTGATGCAGTGCCTTTTACTATATTTTTAAAACTAAATGTTCGATAAGTAGCAAGAGCATCTGAATAGCGATCAATAACAAACAATTGAGTTGGTAAAAATGAATGCTACTAGCATATCTGACAAATGAAATATGCTTATATGAGGTGCCCTCCACCTTTACTTTCTGCAAATAAGCCGAAATCTTGGTACCTGACTGGGGCTGCTGCTGAACCATATTTTGTCTTGACATTCTATTTCTTTTTGCATTATTTATACTCTAGCATATGCATTTGACTATCTGAATTTTAATAATTTCAAATAACTGTCATTTGGATGATGGCATTGCAGGTTATGGGTAATCATGTTGGTGTTACAGTTGGTGGTGCAAATGGGCATTTTGAACTGAATGTTTTTAAGCCAATGATCGCAGCCGGATTACTTCGAGTATGCTTTCTATTATCATACTTCAATATGCTTAATTACTATAGAAACTTTTTCTAGCCTCATAAGCCCTCTTATTGTTTTAGGTACATAAAGTTAATGTGAGTAGGTAACTTTAACCTCCTAAATTTTTACTGCAAGTGCCTAACCATTCCTTTTTTCATCAGTCATTGAGGTTGTTAGGGGATGCATCTGTGTCCTTCGAGAAAAATTGTGTCAGGGGAATTCAAGCAAACCATAAGAGAATTTCACAACTTTTGCATGAGGTAACAATCCATCACATAACTACTGAGTACTCACAAAAGATATGTGTATAAAGTGCAATACTTATTTCTGTTCCTTTTTTTTGTCCAGTCTCTGATGTTGGTGACATCTTTGAACCCTGTAAGTAAACTGCAAATTTGCCTTTTTTTTAAATCTCTGTTTGTAGTTGTAAAAAGTAGCGAGTCATGCTTACTTTTGGAATGAATGCAGAAAATTGGCTATGACAATGCTGCAGCTGTTGCTAAGAAAGCCCACAAAGAAGGAACCACGTTGAAGGTGATCTTGCTTTACTTATTTCACTTTGCCTTGGCCTTGCTCTGCGGTGTATAATGCATTATCTTAGCTTAGGTGACTTGCGCACGTTGATATCTTGTCCTGGTTGCCTGAACCATTCAATTCTTAAGGCATTAGATATTGAAAACTTGAATCAGGACATTAATCATGTGATATAAGTTCATTCTCCATTCCCTCGTCTATTCATATCCTCATAGAGTACAACCTAATCATGGGAATTATAATTTTCATTGATTTTACATTCTTTAAACTTCTTCCATGTTATTATACACCTAATCCTTTCTTGATTTTATCTTTTCCCCAGAAAGCTGCATTAGACCTTGGAGTATTAACGGAGCAAGAATTCCATGAGCTTGTTGTCCCAGAGAAAATGATTGGTCCTTCTGATTGATAACCCCATGTTCACTATGTTTCTTGATAACCCCATGTTCACTATGTTTCTTTGAAGCATTGAGGTTGCCACATCCGCGAGTTCTGGTGGTTCCCTGTGATGCCAACTTAATGATTCTAGTGCACCCGTAAATAAACCAAATAATTTTTCATATGGTCATTAGGTCCTCCCAACACTGGAGAAATGATTTTTGCATGGCGGATGGTACCTGAGAAAACAATTGTATGCTTGTTCCAATAGGACAATAGGGCACTTTGATGCATGAGGCACCTTCCATTCTCCTGGCATCAGTCAAGCTTTTGTTGCCAGGTAGCTAATCCTATGTAATAAGTGACATGGCAACCATGTCTAGAAATTATTTGCATTGGTCTTTGACAAGTGAAAGTAGAAATATACCTGAGTTCTAGTTTTTTTTTTTTTACTGATTTTGAGCTAGTTTTTTCCATCGCTGAATTCAATGTCCCGAGGATTCTGACCGACAATTTCCGAACTTACTAACTCCGCTGTCTTCAAAACCTGTTGTTTTTATGTTTGAAAGCTATATTATGTTATGGAAACCATGCCGTCAAAACTATGATGCGAGAGAGTAAGTGCGTATATAAACATTCAGACCATTTTGATTGTGTACCAATTATTAACTCTACATCGTTGAAGATGTCGTTCAGTTGTCGTGTTGCCCATGGAAACCTGGAACTGGAAGGTAGTCATCGAATATTTCTTGACCTTTGATGTTTGATGGTCGATGGACGAAAGCTAATGAACCAGTGCTTATAAAAGTTGGCGTTAACTACAATGCTGAGCAGGAGGAAGATGCTGGGGTTTATGCTCTCGTACAACTTTCCTGTGTTCCATCTTGTACCGATCAAGAATCTCGTCAAGCTGCCTGTCTCATGGCCTGTTTGGTTTAACCCTGTTTAGTGGCTAAACTTTAGTCACTTTTAGTTTAGAGGCACTAAAGTTTAGTGACTAAAATGCCAAACACCTCCACTAAAATTTAGAGCCCACTAAATTTTATTGGCTTTTAGTTATTAAGGGTAGTTAAAAGTAACTAAAGTATACATGGGACAACTACTTTAGTAATCTTTAATGGGGATAAAAAAAAGGCCACTAAACTTTAAAGAGAACACTAAACTTTAAAGACCACTAAACATTAGGGGGGTGGAAGGCCCTCAGGCGGCGAAACACCAACTTCGTTGCATACGAGAAAGCTGACGAGAGCGTGCAGACAGCAGCCGTGTCGCAGCGTAAACCCCTGCTCCGCTATAAAATGGGGTCGCATCCCCGATGCCTCCCCACGCATCTCCCAGGTGGCTCTCGCCTTGGTAATCCAATCCTCCGGGCTCTGGCCGGCCGGTTAGCTCGAGCTGTGTTTACTCGATCAGCAATCATCATGGCTGCCGCCAGCTCCCTCCACGACTTCACCGTCAAGGTCCGCCTGCTAGTAACCCCCTCTCCCCCTCAGTTCCCTTCCAAAACTAATGCACGTTGAAACATCCTCAATTTTCTTTGAAGGGAAAATCCACATAATAAATTTTAATATGATAAAACCAAGAACTGATTCCATCATATTATCATATTTCAGTCGATGTCACAGTCATACATCTTAAGATTACAAGAATACAAGATATTACATCACTGGAGAACACACCTATTACAGAGTTAATCTAGCGGAAGACTATCGAGTGAAGGCTCCTTCTTCACTGGTCATCATTAGAGTTGGCGTAGTGTAGATTCCATCTCCGAACCAAACTTGAGCGTAGACACGAGACCTCCTAATCCTTCTAAAGTCAGCATCTCTGAGAAGCAGGAAATCGGCACATCGCCAGATGTGTGCAGGCCATGGTCAACACCAATGAGCTTTAGTGGAAAAGATAAGTAAGGGATCTGGCGATCCTAATATTTGGCCGTGGTTTGCATTCTTAGCGCATGAGAAGTAAATAACATTAGTAATATAATAATAATATCCAATTTTTAACGCATTCACCACCACACCATCCATATCCATCCACCAACCATCCATCCCAAACCATCTCCGCACCACCACACCATATCTCATCTCACACACTCAGGTCGACAGGCCAACTCCCTCTCGGCCTTGTCTCAACGGCCCGCAGCCCCCAAGGCTCACGACCGGAAAATACCCCAACCCTGGAGGGAGGAAAGAAGGACTCATCTCCTATCTAGTTTAAGCGAAACCCAGAAAAGGTCCATAGCCGATAAGTCGGCGTATGTATCGATCGATCAACCATACACTCTGCAGAGGTTTCACATACCCACAAGATAGCCATCCTCGACGGTGCCCCGTCTAGGCAGATTCCGGCCGCTTGCTAGCCTAGAACGATGCCACCCTACCTCTCAGCCCTGGAACATCCCAAGTCTAGTCTGGGATGGCTGATACTGTGAGTCGTAGACCGAGCCGGGGCCCTCCGGATGTCAAGAGCCGGGTCCACAAGGCCTCCTGAAGTCTCGGAAGGGTGTGGGGGAAAACCGCGTGCCCCTTACCTCCTTGCACATGTTCGCCTAGCAGTAGTGGCATCGCTCTACCAAGTAGTCCGACCGTCCCGCACCATATAGGGCGAGTGGGATGTAAAGGATTCCCGGTGAATCTGAGTACTAGTAAGTCCTTAGGGATTGACCAAGCCAGAATATCTTCATCAGGTTTTCCATTTTACGTGCCACCACAGCACCTCCACCCTGGGCTTCTCCCATCACAGGTTCACACCCAAGGCCACCTCCAATTACCATTTACCCGCCACAGGTATTCCATATCTAAGTGCCCAGGTAGCACCACATGGCAAGACTCGCCCCAGGCTCGTCGTTATTCTAGCTCAGTCGACACAACCCTCACTCTCCACGCACCCAAGACACACGCAGCACTCTCACACACCACCAAGTCCGGCACCCATAGCCAAACCATTCCCTAGGGTTCACCACCAGCATCACATCCCAGATATAATACGAAGTGGAGTTAAAAGTAAGTATAGTGGTATAATATGCAAACAAGCAGGCAAGTAAGCATATGTAAGTGAGCGAATGCGCAAAGCAGGGTGACATGGTAGAGTGGGTTGCATCAGGGTAATAATGGCTCAGGTAGTAGCATGCATCAAAGCACTAGCAAGGAATAATTATAAAGCGCTAGCAGTTCTAGATATTATGTAATGTCTAATAGGATTCTCTAAAAGAGAGTGCTGCCATGACACCTGCGATGTCGAGGTAGTAGTGGTACAAATCTTCGTTAGTTGATGTAGTCGATCAGCAAGGTCTCCTCTTCCTAGGGTTCTGCCGTCGATCACGTTCTCCTTCTCCATCGGGTTCCGATCCAACGTTGTCCTCATGGAAATTACCTCCAAAACACACTCAAGGCAAGAGAACAAACAATATTCCAAAAAGGCGACAAGACCCAGAAGGAACACAAAGAGGAAATGACTTGGCCCTCTCGGCTGATGTCCGATCCATGGGCCAAAGAAACACGAGTGGTGGTATACTAAGCACAAGCTTAAGTCATGGCCAAGCCAGTATGGCTTTACGATAAACGGTTTAAGCCAGAGCTTATCCAGAGCAAACACCATGGCTCACGATCTTTCGATCCGGTATCATTGAATTGACGGGGATTGGAAGTCGGGCCCCAAGAAAGAAGAACGACGGGGTTCGGCTCTTATAGCCTTATCCCGCAAGTCACAATTGGACACGAGTAGCAGACAAGAATGATTATCACTATTGTAACTTGACTCCAACGTACTTCGGCTCGCCCGCTATGGTAGAAAGCGGTAGCGCAAAGATATTGGACAGCAACGGGTTCTCTCGATCCACACGACATAATAACGTCGGGAGCCGAGAGGAGAGTTGCTCAGCAAAACAAAAGAAGCGGGGGTTAGCTAGGCACATCCATGTCATGTTCTCAGACACATCTTCGGGAAAGATGGTCTTAGACGGCCGATCGGGTCGACACGCACGGGTCCGAGGTACGACATAGACTATAGCTTCGCTAACTAAAAAGAGATAGTCCGGTCTTTGATCCAATCGCCATGGACAAGGTGGGATCGAACAGAGTGGGCTAATAGGGCAATAACAGCAAAGAACGGAGGTCTGCTCCTTCCAACACACACGCCACGACAGAAGACAGGGCATCGGAAGGAGCGAATCACTAAAGAATACAAGTGCGCAAACCACTCATAGGGTACCCGACCTGAGTGCACTGGCACTAAGTCATCTCTCTGATTCCTAACGGTGCGGTGGTCATCGCGAGAATCAAAGAAATGCGATGGTCATACAAGGTACAAGCATACGGGGGTTTGAGCACGAAGAGGCAAGTAAAAGCAAAAGAGTGGCGTAGCTCCATGGTCATGGCGAGGCGAACTCGCGGCCATGAGCTTAACCTACACGAGTTGACATCCGTCTTCTACAATCATCATATCTCGACTCGTCCACTAAGTTAGGCCACAAAGGGCTCATTGTGTGCGGGTGATATCCACACCAATGTTCAGTCCACAATGGCTAGGTCCTAGGGCCGAATCGGATTACTAATAATTGTAGTATGTCGGAGACAACTAAAAGCGAGGGTGCGAGTTACGCTCGCCATTACGGCCACGGTGGGGCGAACCCACTACCGAAATGGTCGAACGAGGTACGATCCCTCGACCGGCTTGAAGGCACGGTCCTTAGGCAAACAAACATAACATAAGAATAAGAATCCTGACAACCCAACATAAGAGCTAAGACATGACCACAGGAATGGAGTAGCACATATCCATAGCGAGAAAGGTAGATAGATAGACCTGCATAAGGGCACGGTGTAGGCATTTATAGATAGGTAAAGATTGTGTAGAATAAGTGTATGAACGAGTGTACGAATGAGCAAGGGAGGGCTTTTGTCGGCGTCAGGAATGGCATTTGACTGGGATTCAGCCCTGCGACGAATATGAGGATGGCCAGAGGCTGTTGTAACTTGTCCTAAAGGGCTGCGGCTTCATGTGGCCAGCCGCTATAGGACACAGCTAGGGTTGGTGACGAGGGTATTTGGCCAAGGCGTCGGGGCCATTTGCAAGTCTAAAAGAGAGGCAGATCTCGGTCTCGAGTTTTGCGGCACGAACAACAAGTGGGGACAAGTCCACTGCGTAGAGCTTGATTTTAGAAAAATGTGGGAACTGGTTTCACATTTTTCTGAGGTCGTATGAATTTGTTATGGCTTTCTGAAGATTAAATCCATTTCTGAAAATAATTAAGGCTGATTTATTCAGGGCTGACACGTGTCACACTGTGATTGGTTCACGTGGCATGAAGGGACTTGGAGTGGTGTACCAGCTGGTGAAGTGGTCGGAGAGGTCGCCGCGGTGGTCGGAGAGATCGCGGAGGTGGTCGGAGTGGTCACCGAAGTGGTCGGAGAGCTCGCCGACGTGGTCGGTGAGATCGCCGAAGTGGTCGGTGAGATCGCGGAGGTGGTCGGAGAGGTCGCCGAAGTCCCCGACGCTGCGCGGTCTTTTCTTCGGCATGACGTCAGCATGGCGTCGTCAGAGCTAAACCACGGCTGATAGGTGGGCCCTCGGCACTGGTCACTGACATGTGGGTCCGGGGTCAAATGGTGACTGACAGGTGAGGCGCGGTTCATGGTGAACCTGCCTGCATTGGTCCATAGACCGCAGAGCCGGTCTATGAAGGACTTGGTCCACTTACTCCTTCCCAGGGTTTGGTTCACGTGCACCAAGTGCTCGGACATGTGGCCAGCGAGGGGAAAATCCCAATCCTCTTTCCCCGTCATGCTCCCGCTGGTGGTGAGCTCACCGGTGAGCCCCTCCAGCGGCACGGGTGTGCAATTAATGTGGGCAAAAGCTTGGCCATGCCATAGCGGGTGTCCCGGTGAAGTTAACGTGGTGGTCGGACGGCTCCAGTTGGCTGGCCGCGGTGAACGGTGGAGTGGGTTCGTTGGCGTGCCTGGACAGGGCTGTAGTGGCAGCGAGAGCCCAGTTGAAGGAGTGTGTGAGCTTCACGGTGCTTCTACGACCATGGTAGGCGTGTTGAAGGAGCTCCTGGTGCTCCCAGTGGCTCCGGCCATGGTGGTGGGGGCAAAGCGGAGGCGGTGGCGCTCTGATGAGATGCGGTGCAGCAACACAGGGCTCCGGTGGGCTTCATCCTCGGCTAAGGTGAGCGCGGTGTGTCTCTCGTCATGGCGGAGCCAGTCAGGGTGTCAACGTCGCCTTTACCACGACGTAGAAGACGCGGTGGTCTCGCCATGGTTGTGCTCTGGCCATGGTGAGCACGTGCGTGCGTGCGATGCGTATGCATGGCATAAGCAGAGCGCTCGGCGTCGCCCCCTTTCTTCCCTTTGCTTCGTGTTTCTGTTTGGCTCAACAAGAGGGTCGTGGTGGTCCTTCTATGCTACCGGTTGGCTAAGCCAGAGCAAGAGCTTGTGCTCCAACGTGGTCCGTTCATGGC